ACCGGGGACAGCTGTTCAACAATGGTGTGGGGGCCGGCAAAGCGAGCCAAGAGTTTCTGCGACGTGCGGGTGCGGTCCGAGGGTAAGGTGATATTCTCAAGGTTAAGGAGAACGTGGTCACCAACCTTGAAATCATGCTCTCGCCGATGGATGTCGGCGTTGGCTGCTTGACGTTCTTGGGCGGCAGCAAGGGACTCCTTAGCGAGGGTGAGGGCTTCGCTTCGAGATTGCACGAACTCGTTAACCGATGGGTTGGGGCCGGGAGTAGGGGTCAACAATGACATGGGCATGTTGGGATGGGCTCCGGAGTTCAAGAAGAACGGGGAGACTCCAGTGGAGGCATTGGTGGCGTTGTTCGTGGCAAATTCGGCGGCGGAAAGTAAGAGGTCCCAGTTAGACTGCCGTTGGTCGACAAAGTTACGGAGCATGGTGATAAGGGTGCGGTTGGCACGCTCGGTCTGGCCATCGGTCTGAGGGTGGAAGGCAGTCGACATGGCAAGGTGGACGTCCATCAGACGGCTCAATTCTTTCCAAAAGCGGCTCGTGAACTTGGTATCGCGGTCGGAGACAATGGTGGTTGGCATGCCGTGCAAGCGGAAAACATGGTCGAAAAAAATGCGTGCAACTTGCGAGGCGGAGTCGGTGGTGTGGCAGGGGGCAAAGTGCACTTGCTTTGTGAGTTTGTCAACAAAGACCGTAATGGAGTCAAAGCCGCGTGGGGTCTTGGGTAGGGGGCCGACAAAGTCCATTGTCACCGTTTGCCAGGGTCGATCGGGAATGGGTAGGGGCTGGAGGAGGCCAGCAGGTGGTTGGTTGCTGGGCTTAGTCCTTTGGCACGACTCACAGGTCTGCACATACAGCCGGGTGTCCTTCGCCATAGATGGCCAGAAGAACCGCGAGTGGAGATGACCGTACGTCTTCTCGAAACCGAAGTGACCAGCTATAGCGGAGTCGTGTGCATCGTGAAGAAGAGAAAGCCGAAGGTCAGAGTTCGAGGGGATACAAACAAGTAAAAGATCATTACGTTGAATGCAAAGAACACCATCAACAAGAGAGTAATTAGACGGTGGACTTCCCTGGAGGCAGCTTTCATAGATCGGTTTGAGGCGGTGATCCTCTTTGTAACCATCCATCAGGCGCTGCCGGAGCCTGGGGTCGAGCTGTACTGAGAGTGTGTTAATCTCTCTATGGTCCGGTCGGCGAGACAGGGCATCTGGGACAATGTTGTCGGCTCCTTTCTTGTACTTGAAGGTGAAGTTGTATTCCTGCAACAGTTCCATCCAGCGGGCCTGACGGCGGGTGAGTTTGGGTTGAGTGGGGAAGTGTTGGAGGGTGGCATGGTCGGTGTATACGATGAAGTGGGATCCGTCCAGATAGTAGCGCCATGTCTTCAATGCATGTACAACAGCCAACAGTTCCTGTTCGTGTGTTGGGTAGTTGCGTTCGGCAGAGTTCAGCTTGCGGGAGGTGAAGGCGACGGGGCGCGACTCGCCATGCTCATCGGTCTGAAAGAGAACGGCACCGAGAGCAAAGCCGGAGGCATCGGTTTCGACGGTTGTTAGAAGGTCGGGGTCGAAGATACGTAGAACAGGTGCTTTACTGATGGCCTCCTTCAGAGTCGTAAACGCTACTTCCTGCTCCTGAGACCAAGAGAAAGGAACGCCTTCACCTAAGAGAGCGGTCAACGGTAGGGCGATCGAGGCAAAGTTAGCGATGTACTGATGATAGAACTGTGCAAGACCAACAAACTGCTGAACATCTTTCTGCTTCTGGGGACGGGGCCATTCACGGATGGCACGAACGAGACCGCCGCTCGTATGGATACCGTCCTTGGAGATGACGTGGCCGAGGAACTCGGTCTCTTTCTGCATAAAGGAGCACTTGCTCAACTTGGCGTAGAGACCGTACTTGCGGAGGAGCGTGAGGACGGATCGGAGATGTTGTAGATGTTCGGCCTCGGTGCGCGAGTAGATAAGAATGTCGTCGAGGTAAACAACAACCCACTTGTCGAGAACAGGGTCTAATACTCGTAGCATCATATTGGAGAAGGACGCCGGTGCATTCGTTAACCCGAAAGGGACCACATTAAATTCGAAATGGCCGTAGCGGCAACGGAAGGCTGTCTTGTGTGTGTCCTCTTCTGCTATACGTTGCTGATGGTAACCGGAGAGGAGGTCAAGTTTGGTAAAGTAGCGTGCCCCGCGGAAACGGTCGATAAGTTCATCAATGCGGGGAAGGGGGTGTCTGTTCTTTTTTGTAATCCGGTTTAACCCTCTGTAATCAACACACATACGCAAGGAACCATCCTTCTTTTTCACAAACAATACAGGGGCACCATAAGGGGAGGTAGAGGGTTTGATAAAGCCTTTGCCAAGTAGGTCGTCGAGTTGCTTCCTTAGTTCATCCAATTCAGCAATCGAGAGACGTATAACAGGGCGAAAGGGGGGATCAGCGCTCGGATCAGTTTCGATCTTCATTGCATCGCCTCTGTCAGGGGGAAGGCCAGAGGGGAGGGAGGAAGGGAAAACGTCGGGGAACTCGTTGTGGACGATGTTGTGAATGTCGGGTGAGAGTGGAGGGGAGGTCGGTTTGTTGTCATTACTGTTGTTGTCGTTGGTCTTTTTAGCGATGTTGACGAGGGCGAGGTAGACAGCGTTTCCAGGTTGGGTAGCAAGGGAGTGAAAGTGAAGGTGAGAGAGGAGTTTCCCTTGTGTGCGAGCGGAGATGGAGTTGGCGTTGGCACCACGACAGCGCCAGAGAACAGTGTGTCCATTGTGGGTGAAGTGAAGGTCGTTGTTTCGCCAGTTGATGAAAGGGTTGATGGTCGTTAGCCAGGGTTTTCCAAGGATGAGGTCGTAGTTGGAGAGGGGGTAAATGAGTGCTTCCAGTTTGTCGGAGTAGTGGTCGCGGTCGATGGTAAAGGTGGAGGTGGATGATGAAATGGAAGAGGAACCGTTTGGAAGGATGATGGGGATGGAGGGGCCAGGAGTGCGAGTGAGGGAGTGTTGTTTGCAAAAAGAAGAACTGATGACGTTCCCTTCCGCACCGCAATCGATTAAAATACGCGCAGGGGCACCAGCCACATTACCAATAAACGACAAGAGTGTACGGGAGGCTTTCTCAGCCGTGAAAGCGTGCAGACGGACGGATTTGTGTCGCAAGCGTTTGGTCCTGCGCTTGGACATGGGTTGGTCTAAAGCAGCAGGAGAGGAGAGTGGGTCCAGGTCCACTTCTTCTGATGGGCTAAGACCAACAGGCGAGGTATCAGATACGTCGTCGGTGAGTTGTAACTCATCGTCAAAGGGTACCGTGGTGGAGTGAGTGTTGGGGGCAGTGGTGGTCGAGTCGATGGCAATTGAGGAGGGAGTACGAGGCGAGGCAGGGATGGATGAGGGAAAAAGGGAGAGTGGAGGAGGAGAGAAGGAGAGTTTGTGTAGGCTACGAGGTGCGGATGTGGTAGTGCGAATAATGGATACAGAGGGGGGAGTGTTTTTGATAGCAGAATTTTTATTCTTGGAACTGTAACTTAACTCTGGTAAGGAAACACTCCCTTTGTCCAGAGGAGAAAGGGAGGGAACGTCGACGATCAAGTCCTGGACTAAGCCTGATCGTCGGAGGCTTTTCCCGACTCGGGGGAATCACCCACGGCTACTTGATAAACCCATCGTCCTTGGCGGTTGTTGTTGTTGCCACGGTTGGTATTGTTGTTGTCGCCGTAGATGGGGCACTCCTTTGCATAATGTCCAGGTTGGCGACAGCGACGGCAAGCATTGTTGTTTTTACACCATTCGCGTTCCTGAGGGGTCAGGGAAGGGGGATTACCGTTGTTGTTGTTTCGGGGGCCGTTGTTGTTATTGTTGTTGCGGTTGTAGTTATTGTTATGACCCATGTTTCTCTCTAGGCGATTAAATCGTTGGGTGATATTGTTGAGGGCGATCTGGATGTTGTCGATTTCCATGGGGGTGGCTTGAGAGAGAGCGGAGGAAGAGGTGAAGGAAGAAATGATGGGGGCGGAGGCGATGGCGAGCGAGTTGGTCTTGGGGCCGGTGTCGGGTTTGAAGGAGTAAATGCGGTCCATCTCTTGGGCGTATTGAAAGATCTGAATGAGGGTGATATTGGGGTTTTGAATAATGTGTCCTTCGATCATCTGTTGAAGAACCAAGGGGCAGTTGTCGATAAAGGATGTTTGGGCGAACTCGTTGACCGTGGTCTTGGCAGCGTCGGTGGAGGCATAACCAAGAAGGGCGCCCAAAAGTTCCTTGAATGTAGATAAGTAGGTCGAAAAGTTGGTGGTCATGCGAAGATTGGTGAGGTGTCGTCGACAGGAGCCCGCAAAGTTGTTGGGAATGTACTCTAGCTTAAAAGCAGGAGTAAACTCGGTCTCGAAGTTGCAAGTATCAGGGAGCCCACATCCATCAAACCATCGGGCAGGGCCAGGCGTGCCCAAGTACGAGAGAGCGTGGGGTGTTCGTTCAGTCTCACTTATCTTAGCAAGGTTGAAGTAGCGGTTAACCGCAACGAGCCAGGCCAAGGCAGAGAAACCGTCGCGGGCGCCTGTAAAGACAGGAGGGGGGTTAAGGCGGGCAGGGGTAACCATGACTGGTAGTGCAGAGAGAAGTGCGGAGAGGTCAAAAATGTCCAGAGTGTAAGAGGGTACGAAGGAAAATAGGGGCAGGGAATGAAATTCAGGGCTGGTGTGCAGAGAGAGCTGGGACGAGGGAAAATTAAAGTAAAACGCGGGCAGTGAAAACGAGGAGGGAAAAATCAAGAGGTCAGTGGAACGAGGGAACCTTTGCTACCATGCAACAGGCGAAGACTGGGACAGAGAAGTATAGAACGGGGACGAGAGTTGAAGCAGTGATGATTGATGTTATTACTATGGTACAACTAAATATATATACAAAGTCGCCAACTAGGTTTCTAGGTGTAGTGTCATAGTGAGTCAGAGATGATAGAGAGTGACAAGGAATGACTAACTAGAGAGCAATGATAAACCTAATATGTTGCACATCTCCAAAGTAAGTCTGTATGATGATTGCTATCAAAGTATAAAATCCCGTTAGTGGTTGCTCATTGTTTTCTTACTCCTTTTTTTTCTACTCCTTTTTTTCATTCGATTAGGATGATTTGAGCAGAGAGAACCTTCTCAGGAGATCTATCTGCACTATTGTCGAGAACGTTGAGTGTGAGGTTGACAAAGTATACTTGATCACGGTTTCAAGTACAGAATCGACGACGTTGCCGGAGTATATGGTGCTTATGATGGATGGTACCCACTTTTGTTCATGCGCTTCAATGCAGAATAAGGGCTGGGTCTGCCGCCATTTTTACTATGTAATGAGGCACGATGGTGATGTTCTTTTTTTCCCAGGAATGGTTGAAAAGCGATGGTACACCGAGGGCATGCAGGATAACCCTCGACTTAATTCAACACTCGACGAGCTCCAGCATGTCAGGGCCAATACCTATGAGGCTGAGAGCACAGCCGCTAACAAGGATAGGCGCGGTAAGGGTAAGGGTAGGAAGGAGAGGGGTAGGCCTGTGTTGTCTCAGTCAGACTTTGCCGCGCGGTTGAAGGAGCTATTCCCTAAGGCACCGTCCGCCGTATCAAAGAGGAGCAAGGCGATCAAGGCCGTGCATTCGAGGACCTCAAGTGCCGTGAGGAAATTTGCAAATACGATAAGCGACCTGGACGTTAGCGAGGAGGCGCAGCTCGGCTATACCAACGACTTCAAGACCATCATGGCGACGTTTGAGGAGTATCCCGAGAAGATGAAGGCCTTTCAGGAATTTAATCAGTGGTGGGAAGCAAAGCGAAAGGTGGACGGCACCGTACAGGATCAGAACCAAAACCCGAAGAAGAGGAGGGGGCATCATTGGAACATTGGCCGAGGATCGAAGCGCGTTGAAGAGCGGGGGCGTGGTAGAGGGAGAGGACGTGGAGGGGGGAAAGGACGTGGCAGAGAAAGGGAAGGGAAGGGCAGTAATGCTTAATCTTTAGGAGGAGAGCGAATGCCAAGTTTATGGCCTCAAATACAAAACTTACGCTTTTTATTTCCATTGGCTATATGTTTTGTTGCAGCGTTCTTTCGGTTTTCAGGGATGGGTGTGAGAATCAAGTGCTGATCAGAAAGGAGGGGAAGAAGAGGGGAAGATAAGAAGGAAGAGGCAAGGGTGAGAGGAGATAGTTAGAGAGTATGGGCGAGTGCTTGTCTGTGTGTGTATGTGTTGTGTGTTGTGCGTGAGTGTGTGCATACGAGCTGAGATGATGGAGAGGGAAGAGAAGGACAAGTTTACCAAGAACATGAAACAAAAATGGCAAGGCGAACACGAGAAAATGGAAAGGTAACAAAGAAAATGTCTTCGCTCGTTGGCCTCGCTTTCCTGCAGCTAAGAAGGGAGTAACAGACAGACACACAGAGACAGAAAAGAGAGATGGAGATATAAAGAGAGAGGGAGACAAAAAGAGAAAGAGAGGGAAGAGAGAGGGAGGGAGGGAGACAGAGAGAGAGAGAGAGATGTAATATGAACAGCTGGGGAGAGGAAAATGGCGAGAAAGAAGCTGGGGGTCTTATTGAGCCCTATGAGAATATATAACACTGCTACCTTTAATAGAGAATGAGGAGTGAGTGAACAGACACTGAGATGCAACAGCTCTCCTCCCCTGTGAGAACGAGGCACCAGTTCGTGGACAAAGAAAAGCAGTGAAGTGGATCGCAACAAAATGACTTTCTTTTTTATTTTTCTTTTTTTCTTGGTGTCTTTGTTGTATAAATGAATGAATGAATGAATGAATGGATGGTGAGTCGATGAGTGTGAATGAATAAGTCGATGAGTGAGTGAGTGGATGGGTAAGCGCTTGCGTGTGTGAATGAATAAGTGAGTGCGTTTTTGTGAGTGTTAAAGTGTGTGTGTTTTTTTGTTCAAAGTTGTGTGGGAATGATCCCTCGATTCTTCGCCAAAAAAAATGTAAAATGAACAGCTGGGGAGAGGAAAATGGTGAGAAAGAAGCTGGGGTTCTTTATTGAGCCCTGTGAGAATATATAACACTACTACCTTTAATAGAGGAGTGAGTGAACAGACACTGAGATGCGGCAAGAGGGAGACTAACAGAGAGGGAGACAAAAATAGAAAGTGAAGGTAGAGAGAGGGGGGGAGGGAGACAGGGAGAGAGGGAGACAGGGAGAGAGGGAGACAAAGAGAGAAGGAGACAAAAAAAAAGAAAAGGACAAAGAAGGTAGGAGGATAAGTTGGAAGAAAGGCTACTTAAGCAAAGGCTGCAGTGACCATTCTCCAGCGAGATATCAAGCAAGGCGTGCAAGCAACAAACGTTGAGCAGCAACGAAAACAAACCCACAAACAAGGACAATTTTCAAAAGCATTTCTACTCGGCTGACAATTTTTTGAGAATCCCCTGTCAGACACACCCTGTTAGTTTTGCACTGACAGGGGGTGTTTTAGTGCTTAGAAAAACTGGTTCAATGAATTGCAGTCTTTGACATTCATCAACTTTTCTCATTCTCATCCTAACCCTCTACTCCCAAGACTCGCTCTATTGTTATACTCTCTCCTCTTCATTGTTCACGTCAAATCCCAACCAGGGTTACTTTGTAGGATCGTCATCGACATCGCTTTAAAATAAACAAGTTCATTGAATCAGTTTTTCTAAATGACTGAATCTGTTGCATGCCCTTCATCTACCGCGGTCATCAGTACTTGGTGTCGTGTCTTTTGTTCTAAATCACCATCTTCCGGCGGTCGGGCATGCTTTAGTACAGTTTGTGAAGGTGCTCCGGAGGAATCTCCTTCCAGATCGCCTCTAACGTTCCCACAGCCTGTCCTGGTCCTCAGCCGCCTCTGGCTAGCCAATCGCGGGACTGACGAACACGCCTTTGGAGAACGTCGAGATAGGCATCCGAATCCATATTACCCTCGATCCAGCAAAGGTCTCCAACGCCAGAATATCTAATGCAACCCCAGACCATTACTTTCCCTCCACCACCTTGTTGTTTTGACGAAATATAGGTTAGTTTTTATTTGACTAAGAATTCTCTATTTATTAGTGTCCTCAATAAACGGGTCAACAACCACCTTCTTTCGCGTCTTCATTTTCCCCCTACATTTTGACTGTTTCGGTCGAACTTGGTGAGGCAGGTGTTGTTGTTGTTGGTGTCTGTGGTAGTAGTACTTCTTGTCGAAGGACCCAATGCGGCTGAAGATGCACTCATCAGAGAACATCACGTTCTTCCAGTCCTTGACCTTCCATTGATGGTGTTCTTCTGCGAATCTGAGCCTTTTTGTGATCTGTTCCCGTGTGAGATTCGGCTTGTCTGGTGCTGAGTAGACCCTGATTCCTTCCTGGAGTAGATTCTTCTGTATAGTGGTAAGGTAGACATGCTCTCCCTCGGTTGATTCAATAAATCGTTGTCCATCCTTTCGCGATGTTAAGTGGCCTTAAATGAAATGACGCACGAGATTCGTCCTCGTCTCCGTTGAGATCTTCCTAGGTCAGCCAGGATGGGGCTCAGGGATGTTTTCCTTTTCCTCGTTCCTGATCCTGACCGCTGATGAGACAGAGATCCGAAGGTTGCATGCAACTGCTCTGGTTGAATTTCCATGTCGAAGCTGTTCTACGGCAGTCTCTTTAATGGATCGTGCAAGAGGCTTCATGTTGATTGTTTGCTGAGCTGGGAATCGTTCGAAAGGATAAAGAAGGAGGAGCTGAAGGTGGGTGAAGGGTGAATTAGAGTGATCACAAAATAAAAGAGCGACAATAAAGAGAGAATGGATCTATGATGGCGAATTAGAAAGATTGATTCAATAGACGTCACGATCTAGAAAGATCAAAGCAACGGAGTTGAGACCGTGTGGGATCAAGTCGCTGTTCTCCACATATGCTCAAAATTCGTACTTTATAATGCGCGTTCAATTTATTGCATTCTTGATACTTGTCAGGTCTTGGGTATTCGGCCCAATAATTCTTGATGAAGAGTTGGTGCTTGGTTCGTTCAATCCCGCACAACAAAATTAAGACATGCGTTCAACTCGTCGGCAGCTCTACCCCGCCATATGTTAGCCTACCTTAGGCAGACTATGTCACCGTGTACAATAAAATTGCATGATTAAGTAAAGTCAACGAGCGGTGGTTCCTATTGAAATCTTTTTCTCCCTTCTTCCTCCAAAGCTCTAACCACAATTTTGAACACCAATCCTTCCCTATCCCCATTTACTGTCGCGCCCCCTCACAATGTCTGAAGTCCCTGTTGTTTGTGATATTCTTGAAGGAACAGTTGGTGGTGACATTAATGTCATGTTCAAGTTCTTTACTGTCAAAACTAAATGCTTCTGTGGAAAGGACTTCTCCTCAAAACCCCAACTGAAGCGCCATGTTTTCGGCGCCATGGACCGACTCATATCATGCAAAGGCGAGCCGGCCTTGAGAAGCAGGCTCATGGAAGAGAGGAGTATTAAAGAACCACTATTCGAAGCATACTTTTTGCCGCCGACAGGGGTACAGTTTAAGAAAAAAAACATTTTGATTGGAGCTGATATCATACTTCAGTTAGGTTCAAACTAAACCTCTTGAGATTTTTTTTTCCTGTTTTGTTTATTCACACGCAGCATGAGTTTCAGATGCTCAAGGCTCAGGTCCATCGAATGATTGAGTCGCAAGAACAAGCACACAAGTACTTCAAACTTCAAGAATCAAGGAAGGCCATTATGGCGCCAAAGGACGATCAAGCGCCTCCATCAGTGCACGCAACCTCCCCTCAACAAGGACAACACCCCTCCTCGCCCCTTCAAGAACACACTCCCCCGACTCAGAAAGAGCCTACCCCGTCTACATCCTCATTCCAAGAAACCTCCATCTCCCACCCTTCATCTCAGCACACCTCCCTCCCCACCCACTCAACCGACGTATCGTCTGTCAGTTCCTCTTCCACTAACTCCCCCTCCCCGTCTAGTGATGGACAAAATTCACAGCACAGTGTGATGAGTTTCTCATATCCTGTCCAAACAAGCACACCAAGAAATGGGGAACGAGCTTATTCTTCCACTGCCAGCCCCAGCCCAACTTATGAATATGTTGACTCCACTCCCACTGCCAGCCCCAGCCGATCTTCAGAAACATAACCAACAAGCAACATATAAACTTTAGTAGTAGCAATCGTAGTTCTTATTAAAAACACAATCTTTCAGCACACACGCTATTGTTTGCTTGTTCATTCGTTAACTCTCCCTCTGTTCCCCTCAGCCTCGTTCTAGTCATGGCCATGACCTGTCGCAGGAATTCCTGTTTCATCCGTAACCATACAAACAGTGAAAAATAAGGGAAGGTCTCAGCCGTACAAAAGCCAAACACAGAGCACAACCAGCCAAAAAAAAAAATAAGGGGAATGCATGTGCATGTCTTGGACCTACACAACCAAAACACATGGACAACAGGGTAAACAAAACAAAACAACAGAGATCCCAATCTTTATGAGACGCTCGGTCCCAAGCCATATACAATGCAAGAGAGTATTAAGTAAAGAAGAACAACCATATGCTTTGCAAGTGTGGATCGATGATGTTAGCGGCTCTTGGTTCTCATTCCTTTCTTCTCACCTCCATCTCTTATTTTCTACGCCCAATCTGCCGTGTCTTATGTATCTGTGATAACCAACACGTTGGTGTTGCTGTTGGGATGCAAACCTGG